TAGCTTCGTTGGCGCAACAATACTCAACAATCAAGCGCCAAGAATTAAGCGATCCTCAAGAGAAGGAAGCTTCGAAGAAAAACTAAAAGAAGGAAATGAATTGCTGAAAAACGTAAGGCTATCCAATTAAAAGTAAAGACAACGTGTATGACTCGATCAACTATTGTCGTTCTCTCAATCCTGCACATCTTACAGGAACCAAATGCGGATGACACAATGGAACTTCTCAGGAAATTGCACAACATGGAAGATGAAATCAAGGAGGAACTCAGTGCATCTGAAAAGCCGAGTCCTGAAGTGTTGAAAGCGATGAAGGTAAGCACGTTGTTTTCTTGCATTTGACGCATTGAAGTGATATGTGAATGTGATTCTCTAGGATTACGCAAAAACGGTACAAAATCAGGAGGGTGGTTCAATCCCGGAAATCAATGGACGCAATAAGGTCGGCTCGGCGCTATTCCAAGGAGACATGATTCTCACTAAGTTCGAACTTCGCCCATAGTAGGCTTGTTTCTGGACGATTTGTTCTGATTTTCAGAGAACAAGCTGAGGAGATCATAGAAGACGTGAATGAGGATATTGCCAAACATAAGAAACAAGGGAAACAAACTGCTCCGCTTTATATCGCACTCCGACACCTAGAAACACCTCTCACCCAGGATGAGGAGTTAGCAATGTGATTTCGACTAGAGCTTCACATTAACTGTGCTCAATGCCGATTTGTGCTTCCCAGAACAATCACGGTGACAGCTGACTGCTGAGAACAGTGTTGTTCAGAAAACTAGACCCACAGAAACGCAAAGCAAGAGCCTCTGTGGTGCAGTGTGTAATGTGTGTGTGTGATTTCTAACGCGCAAAACACACCCTCAGTTATTCTTGTTTTTTTTTCGCTTTTACGAATTGTAACGTTCTCAGCCTTTTTCTCAGCTTCAACCATCAAATTCCAGCTAAAACAAAGGTTTTAAAAAATGTGGGTAGTAACGTTGACGACGGGTGCATATGGGGCAGTGGTTAGAGGCGCACTGCAGTGCATACAGAGTCATTCCTTGCGCTCAAGGCTCAAGAAGCCTTCCATTCATTGAAGGTCGGTGAACTGGTACCAGACTGGTCAGGGAGAATAGCACCACTAGCCCGATACATCAGTACGCCGCCGCGAGTCGTTGTGAAGTCCGGATACACATTTATTCACCTCCAACCGATGCTTAATGAAGTTGAGTGCGCGGAGCATCCCTCAGAGATTGATCAACGCCGAGAGCTTTAACCTTTATCCTAACCTTTGCAATAATTGCGGAAATGAATATATTGGCGAAATGGGCAGACCTTTGTGTATCCGTATAAAAGTACACCTAGATGGCAAACGAAAAATAAGACGAAGCACCCCACTAGGCACGCATAGGATACAAAAGCATAGCGGAGACAATTTTGAAGTAAAAGTCAATATTCATGCACAGGAGTCCAAAACACCAGCGCGAAAACTCCTTGAGGCTTTTTGGATCAATGCCAAAAACCCTACAATGAATAGCAGGGATGAATGCCCGGTGGTCATACGCGACCTGATCCCGTACGTTCGCATCGAATTTTGATGTGGGATGGTGCAGTCGTCAACCATATGCGACTATAGTCAGCTGTTCTAAACTTCCTCAATTGAAGTCACGAAAAAGCGATGAGTTTTTTCGAGAAGTTGTTGATCATGTAATTACCAAAGAGTGTTTCGTCTTTTTGTAAGGGGCATTGAAGCGTTGAGCCTAGAAGATTGTATATCAGTATACCCTTCCAGGCTCTGAAGAAGGCGATACAGCCGAAACGTCAGCTAGCGTTGTATTGTATTGTGTTTTTTATGGAAGTAAATGTACGCTGTTTAAAAAGCTCGCGATTGCTGAACAAGAAGACGACACATTAATAATCCAGTGCCGAGGTTAAGAGAAAGTCGATCCTGGGAACTATTACAAGATGTACCAGCAAAATACTTTCGACTTGTGAAGGAAGCATTGTCACTAAAACAGAAGATTGTCTTAGCTAGACAGGAAATCAACTTCCTCCGCCGCTGTTTTCAACATCGAGTCGTGCCGAAGTTTATAAAACAAAAGCGACTTCAAGAGATATGCGGTCAACCAGAGAACAGCCAACAAGTACGAGGCATCGAAATGGAACTGCTTTGAGCTGCACTACGAAGCAAGCAGAACGAGGTGTTTGCAGAATGAAGAAGTGTGCAACGAAGGAACATTTTTGTGCTTTGTATTTGGAGGATCGCCTTTGGAGGAGGATAGTTGGTGGGTCAATATTGATATGCGATTCTATTAGATCTAATGCCAAAATAACCTTACAACGGAAATTCGAAAATCTTTTGGGTAATTCACATGCCTCAGCTTCAAGAAACAACCGCAAACGAATTCATTACGCATCTGATAATAGTTAAAATGGGGTTGATGATGCACCAAAAAAATCTAGGGTCACCGTGATTGGGGGCATAACAATACCTGAGAATGCGCGCTCGCTATTAGAATTGGGCCCAAGTTTTGCACCATCACAGCCCATTTCTAAAACGACCCTGCGTAGGATAGCATGCAACCTTTATGAGCTTCAAGATCGACTTCGCTATCAGACCAAGCAAGAAACATCAAATAGAGATAAAAATCAAGAAGCGGTGACACTACCACCATCTCCTTTCCCAAAAACGTTCTTTAGACAGCAGGACCCTAACGATGGTGACATAAAATTCCGCGCGTTTTCGGATGGCGTTCTCAAGACCCTTGATCACTACCGCGATAGAAAGTTTATCTCTAACCTTACAGCCGCACAAAAATGTGGCAAGCGGGAAATTAGAGAATTAATAAACTCGAAAACAATAAGATTGTCTGTTAGTGATAAGGGGGGAGAGTTCGTAGTTATCCCTCGCCAGCTGGATGTT